TCCAAGGTCACATATTAAGTGTCAGGGTAGAATTCAAATCCAGATCCTCCAACTTTGAGTCTAATGCTCTTTCCACTGCCTCCCTCTATCTCTCATTAAGGAAACCCATCGTTGTGTTTTTTTTTTGAATGAATACAATTTTAGTATAAACCATGGAATGTTTCTTGTTAACACCACTCACAAAATAAAATTTGCTTATCACCAACTGCTTGCCCTTCAACGGCTGTCATTTATTATAATACCACAAATATTATAAGACTGATCCTATCATATTACAGTATAACAAAGTTTTCCATTGGTAATGGGTCAAATATCATAACTTGGAGATTAAAGAAGGATATCCTCACTTTAAATTTGCCTGATCTCATATACCTAAAGGTCTTTGTACAGGCTGATGGACGGTTTGGGCTGAGCAAAGAATAGAGATTAGTAGAATTCACTTTCAAGTGTCCACTGTATCATCCTCACTCAAAACTGTTCCACCTCCAAAATTCCCTAGTCTGATAATCTTTTTCCTTTCACTTCTCCTAGTCCCTTTATCTTTTCTAGGATGGTACTTAACCCTCATTTTGACCTTCAGTCCCTTAGTTCTTCCCCATTCTTTCAGTATACAAACTCCACTCAGACTTGATCTTGACATTCTTATCACTTTAACATACTTTTCCCTACACTTGAATCCCTTTGACAAAATCCTCTACTTTCTTGCTCCAAGTCTCAACTCTAACTAACTCCTACTACTCAGCTCCCTCCTGTGCTACTCATAAGTTGATCTGAAATCAAGTGGAGTGAATGTCCTACAAAATTCCACTATCTAACATCAGTTGAGCTCTTATTGCTACATAGTAACCTTTTATTCCTTTTTTTTTTTTGCATGAGGTGAGCTGGAAGGAATCTTAAGAGTTATCATCTAACCCAATCCTCTCATTTTACAAAGAAGGGAACTGAGACCCTGAGAAGCTATGTTACATACCCAAGGTTACAAAGAAAGTAAGCAGAGTCAAGATTTGAACCTACATCCTCTGATTTTCTATATGGCATGGAACCATGACGTTTCTCAATTCTTATTGACTTTTACATACCCCACACAATGGCTGTTCTAAACCTTCAAGCACCAACTCTATTCCCTGTACCATCCAGTAAATCAGTGGTGACAAACTCAAATAGAAATGAGGCCACTAAACCACAAATAAGAATCCCCCTACAGGTGTAGAAAATCACATAATAACATTGTCTATGTAAGATTTACCAATTACATTTTAATCTGCTTTGGGCCCACTTAGGAATGTTGTGTGCTGCATGTTTGACATTTCAACAATAGAAGAATCTCTACTACATTATTGAAATTGAAAACAACAGCCTCTAAGTCTTCTATTAAGCCTCTCAAGATTCTTATAGATTTATCATTCTCTCCAGGCTCAGCTAAAATCTACAACTTTTATCTTGAATCTCATCTTATCCATTTCCCCATCTGTGTCTCTTTACTTCACTACCAACTTCATTCCCTTCTTCAGTGAACAAAACGTTTACGTTCCTTCTCTTAAAAGAAATAACAAATAATTGTTTCCTTGACCAAATGATCATCCTATGTCTTTTGTCCAAAAACTTCTACAAATATAATAGTTTACATTTGCTGCAACCTCACATATACTAATCCTTCAGCCTTTGAAATTTGGCTTCCATCCAACAATGAACAGAAACAACTCTCTACAAGTGTCCTAATAACCTTTTTTAAAAAAATCCAATTACCTTTTTTTCCATCCCCATCCTCTTATACCTCTCCATCATAGATAGACATTCGACAATGTGATGACTCTTTCTTTCTTAATAACCTTTTCTCCTTTGGTTTCCATAACACTGAACTCTTATGATTTTCTTCCTTCCTTGATCCTCTTCTCTCTCCTTATTGGTGATTTCATCCAATCATTCATTCTGATAGCTCCTCCATATAGCTGACTCCCAAATCAATATATCTCTACCAACAACTATCAGAGACAGAGTTCAATATTTCCTTCTGTGTTGAATATGCCACTAACACTTCAAACTCATGCACAAAATTAAACATCTCAAAAAACCTCCACTTCTCTTTGTCTGCTGAGAGTGTTATTAGCCTTCCAATCATCCAGTTGCCTTCCTTTTCCCTCATCTCCTACATATCCAATCAGTTGCCAGAATCTATTAAATCTAATTCTACCTCAGATCAGCACCCCCTTCAACTCCCTTTGTCCCATTCCAGTTTAAGTTCCATTTTCTCCAGCCTAGAAAACTGCAATAGCTTCCTAACTGGTCTTCCTGCCTCCATCAGGGACCCTTCTCCAATCAATCCTTTACATTACTTCCTTAATAATATTTCTAATACATGGATATGATTATGTCACTCTGCTACTCAAAGACTTTCTTCAATATCTACCCAGTGTTTATGAAATAAACTCCTGATCCTGGAATTCAAGACCCTCCACAATTTGGTTTGAAACCAGCATTTCAAGGTAATCTAATATGATTCCCATTAAAAGGCTACATTCTGGGCAAATGAGATCATCCTTTTCCTCCCTTTCTCACCCTGTCCTCACTAATACCATCACTCATAGACTATATTTTCCTCCAATCATGCTCCCAAATTTCCATTTGCTTAAGTCACCCCTTTCCTTCAAGGTCCAACTGACAGGGCAGGCAAGTTAGTCCAGCTGAAGCATGAGGTCCCCTATACGGGGTGAGAGGAAACATCATGCTGACAGTTACAAATGTCGACCATCACCTTTTCCATATGAAATACTTGAAGATAGACTTGTCATCCCTAGTAGAATCTCTAGATTCTTTCAATTAATCTTCCAACAACAGAGACTCAAAACCCTTCATTATTGGGGTCGCCCTTCTCTGGATACATTCTATGTAATCAATGTCCTTCTTAAAGTGATGCATCCAGAACTGAACACAATAAGCTAGAGTAGAGTGCAAATGAGCACGGATACTGAACTTGGAGTTAGGAAGACATGAATTCAAATTACATCCTTAAACATTTACTAGCTATGTGACCTTAGGCATACATGTCACTTAACCTCTTTAACTCAATTTCTGGATACATAAAACGAGAGATTAGCCTCAATGATCTCTAAGATCCCTTCAAACACATCCTTATTCATGGAAGCTATACCATTCAATGAAGCTCCAAAGCACACTAGTGTGATAGCACATAAGATTACTGACTCATATTGGGTTTGAAGTTCACTAAAACTCCAAGATGTTTTTCACACAAATTGCTGTCTCACCATACCTATCCCATTCTATTCTTGTAAACATTTTTCCTCCCTAATCCAAGGATAAGACACTGCATTTTTCCCTACTGGATGTCATCTTACTATGCTTTAGCCTGTCAGTATCTTTTTGGATACTGATTCTGTCTTATACAAGGAGTCATCAATCTTTCCCAGACTTGTATCATCTGCAGACTTAAGGGGGATGCCACCCATACTTTTATCTAAATTACTGATAAATATGACAACCAGCACAAGACTAAGCACAGATTCCTGAGGTTCTCCAGTAGAGCCTTCCTGACAAGATGATACTGAACCATTAATGACAACTCTTTGAACTCAGCCATTTAACCAGTTTCAGATCCATCCGCTTTACTGTCTATTCCATATTCTTAAAACTTTTCCACAACAACAGCATGAGACACTTTATAAAATGTTTTGCTAAAATCTAAGCCAACTTTACCAACAGTTTTCCTGGATCTATCAGTTTAGCACCCTTGTCAAGAAAGGAAATAAGGTTGGTCTGGCATGACCTGTCCTTGATGAAGTCATACTAGACCTTGGTAAATACTATTTCCTTTGTGAGACGTCCATTATTTCTTTAATGATTCATTCTAAAAATTTCCGAGGACCTGAAGTAAAGCTTACTGATTTATATTTTGTGGATTCTGTTCTTTTTGCTTATTTGAAAACTGGGATATGTGCCTTTCTCTAATCTTGTAGTACCTTTCCCAGTTTCCAAGACCTTTCAAGTATTACTGGCAACAGCTTAACACCATTAATTCATGTTAGCTCATCAAAAGCTCTTCTACTACCTCTTACTTGTGTTCAGTTAGCCAATTTAATTCCATCATTTCCAATGCAAAGTCATTTCTGTCAGAGAGAATAAGAATTCAGAAGAGAGTAACAATTGAGTAGCTCTGACTTTTTTCTATAGCCAGTTGTCACTGTCTCTTCCACCTTAACCAGTAACCATCTCTTATTTTATCCTGTTCTTTTGTACCTTAAAGCATTCCCCCTTCCCCAAACCAAACCAAAAAACCCCACCTATTGTTGGATTTAGTCTGGAAGTACTATGCGATGACTTTACTTTATGTAAGCTCCAGGTATTTTTAACACTATCAAAGAGAACTACCATTTCCTCTCCCAGGAGCTATCTCCTCATCTATTTTCAGTAAGAGAGAGGGTTCTCTCAAAGAACAGGCTTAGGAAATTGCCCTAGTGGCAATATTATACATAGGCAAGAGCCAAGAAATAATGTCCTCATCTATATTTGTATGTGTACGAGAATAAAGACACTAAATGGGACAACTGATACAGTTACCCCAACATTCAAATACAAATATTAGTAAAAACTGAAAACTACTATGTTTGTAATTTAAAGAAATTGCAAAATAGCAAGCCTCTTCAAATTACCAAAGAAGCAATTAAGATATACTACAAAAATAACTAGAGTCCAATCTGATAACTGTTAAATAAATTGAACGAAGATAATACTCATGTTTTCTGAAAGGCAAAGATGATTTATATATTAAGCTTGAAAAGGTGATGCTTTCCACAACAAATAAATAATTCACTCTTATAAATCAGAATGACAAATTTCTGCATACAGATCGAAGATAAAAAGCATATATCACCTTCCCAATGTTCTCCCACATATTGAAGCAGAGTTTGGGAAGCACTTTTAAAATAATGAAGCCATTGTACACATCAAACACATTACTAGCTCTATAACCAAAGTTCAATACTTACATTTTTCTGATCAATAGATTCAGCTGCCTTTGCTATTCCATCCAGACATTTCCCAATGATTGGTATCACTTGGCGATCCACCTCAGCATAAGTTTTCATTGATTCACCAATTCTGACTATTCTCTTTTCCTCCATCTCTTGTATTTTCTGAAACATAATATTTTTATATGATTAAGTTACATATTTTTCTAGGATTTAAGAAAGCTTAATTTCCACAGGATGGTAACTTAAATGTTCTTTCAGAGATAAAGAGGTCAATATAAGAGAGTCACTGACCAGTTAATTGCATCTAAATATTGGACATGCCTTTCAACAGGTGTCAAACTCACAGACTGACCCACAGAACTTCCAAAGTCAATGTGTAGCCAGCAGGGATCCATTTCTATTTGAGTTTACACAACTGCTTTAGAGAATAAAGCGTGGGGGCAGTTAGGTGGTGCAGCAGATAGAACACCAGCCCCAGATTCAGGAGGACCTGAGTTCAAATCCAGCCTCACACACATAACATTTACCAGCTGTGTGACCCTGGGCAAATCACTTAACTCTGTTGCCTAGACCAAAAAAAAAAAAAGGGAATAAAGAATGATCTGAAAATATCATTATCATTCATATTGCATAGATTATAACAAATCATCCCCAAATCTGAAAGTAGTAAGATTTCAAACATCAATGATGCTTTATTTTTAACACATTACTTTATTAATTTAAATTTATTATCTAATGTTTTATGCTTTCCCATTAGTTACCACGAGAAAAGTTTATCTTAATATGAATAACTGCTTTCACCCACTACTTCCATTGCAGTTGAAATAAATCAGTGTTCTCTACATTTGGAGACATCTTTGGTGTTGGTATTGGTGGAGTTTATATAGAGCCATGTGTGTCTGCAACAAGAAACTGAAATTTGCTATTTCTGTTAAACAACAAATCTACCTACAAAACTATAATTTTTCTGTAATATTCCTACTCAAGTAAAAATGAACCAAAACAAAACTGAAAGAAAGACCTGGCTGTCAACCCCTGTTTAAGCTTCACATCTCTATGCTGAAGTAGAAAATGGGGATTCTCAGGCTAAATAAATCTGAGGTATCAGGAAGATCATCAACATATTATTAATCTTTAAGGTAGGTAATTATTACTATCTTCCTATGAGTCTAAAATCGAACCCCAAATCCTTTTCAAAGGACACATTTTTTTTTTTTAGTGAGGCAACTGGGATTAAGTGAATTGCCCAGAGTCACACAGCTAGTAAGTGTTATGTCTCTGAGGCTGGATTTGAACTCAGGTTCTCCTGACTCCAGAGCAGGCACTCTATCCACTGCACCAACTAGCTTCCCCCAAAGGACACTATTTTTTAAATAGATCTTTGGTGCACCACTCCAATTATTCCTTGAAAATCCTAGAACTAAAACTTATCAGGATCTTAATGTTATGTGCTACTCAGTTTTTAAAAAATGATTTGGCTTAGGGAGAATGTTGGTTTATACTGATTGGTAAGTCACAGTCACAACTGTGAACGTGATTTAAAAAAAAAAACAACACAAAAAAACCCAAACCCAACGCTTTTACCTGGAAGATGCTTGGTATATGAGTATAATAATGTTCATGCTGTTCATGGTTAAACTTCTGAAGAGTGGATGAGTAATCTGCCTTGCTATCCTCTGCCATTTGATGCCGTAATTGAGCTTGTTGCCGGGCCTTTGAAAAACAAAAACAAAAACATAAAATACTCTTTGGTTTACACTCACAGAAAATAAAAAGCAACAGATTTATTCACTTGGCAAAACAATCATTAAAAAAACTTACAATCTGTTTATTTTAAACTTTATTTTAAAATCCACTATAATTAGATATTGGTAGCTTTCTTATCGTAGCTTTCTAACCTTTGTATTTCAGTTCTATCCTTTGGAACACTGCTTTTCTCAAACTATCTATAGTAAAATTGTGCATCTTTTTTGTTTCTCTTTTGGATCTTCTGGATTTTTATCATTTAACTAAAAAAGCAGTATCCCTTTGTGGCAGGAGCAACATCAACTACTAATCACAGCAGTGACACTTCCACATATGTCAATTTTTCCCCACAAAAGAGCAATGAAACCAGTCTCAAGATTTAACTGGTCCACGGACTAAAGCTCAAACTGTCGACTGTAGTTTCCTGGTTCCTAAGACATAAAAGGTTGGCATAGTTGTCTGTATTCCTCAGGCTTGGTGGACTTTCCACTTCTCCTCAAGCCAATATATTCTTCTGACTGGAAACACCATAGTGGCAAACATGGAAGCAAGGGTAGATATGTCCAATTCAGCTGATGATGGGTCTATGTTGGACATCTTTTCCACGCTATTGCTGAGGAATATTCCTTGATTCTTCAGAATTGTTTATTCTTCTTACTCTAGTTTTACGAAAATAAATATTTTTTTAAAATGACATCTTTTGCTTTTATATTACTTTAATTTGCAAGTATATCTTTTCCCATTTCACTACTTACAGCTACTCTTTGTAAAAACAATAAAAGAGAGAAAAAAGCAGATCAGTAAAACTAACGAACACATCAATCAAGTCTATACCCACAAAGATCTCATCCTCAAAAAAACTCTTACTAGATCTGTCCATCCCTATTAGCTATCCTCCTGTATCTCTCTTCCTTTTTGTGACTAAATTCTTGAGGAGGCTGTCTATAATCAGTACCTCCACTTTCTTTTCTTTCACTCTCTTTTTAACTCTCTTCAGTCACACTTCTGACCAGGAGAATACTGAAGCCAGCTCTTACTGACTCCCCATTGTTAATTTTGAGTGTATTTACACCTTATAAGGCAGCAAATGCTACAAGTAGGGCTTTGTTTAATGCTTTTTTTGATTGTCTAGACTTAAGAAAGTGATGGAGGAAAATGTTAATAATTCAGATTTAAAATAAAAGTGTGCTTTGAATTTTTGGAGAGCCAGTTGTTAAACATTTACCAGCACACTCTTGCTTCTTACTTCATCATTCAACTGAACCTGCTCTCTCCAAAGATACCAATGATCACTTAATTGCCAAATCTAATGACCTTCATCAGTTTTCATCATTCTTGATCTCTCTGTAGCTTTTGACATTATTAATCACCTTTTCTCCTAGCAGGGGAGAAACTATATATAAACACATACATACACACATGTATGTGTGTGTATAAGATAAAAAGTAAATACAAGGCAAACCTGGAGAGGATGGAACTAGTAACTGGGGGAAAGAGGGGAGAACCAGAAGTAGTTCCTATTGCATTATTTATATATCATCTTTTTAACTGAGGTACGTATGTTTTTACTGCATATATGTACACACACACACATGCGCCCACACACACAAGCTTTTTTGGACCAATGGTCGAGACCTGTGATTAGTGATCAGTGTAAAGTGATCTTTGGCAAATCACTTAACCCTGTTTGCCTCAGTTTTTTTCATCTGTAAAATGAGCTGGAGAAGGAAATGGCAAACCACTGCAATATCTCTGCCAAGAAAACCCCAAATGAGGTCACAAAGAGTTGGACATTACTAACATGCAAATGCCATCCAGATACTCAATTCATCTGTAATATAACATCATCTCAGAAAGTTGCCTTCTGAACTGAGAGGCTAAGTAATTTGCCCATTGTGTCATACATCTAGATACTGGAGTGAGGATTTAAACCAAGGTCTCCCTGAATCTGACATATTACCTCTACCCTCTATGCCAGGCTTCATTAACTTTTATAATACCTTCGTTAACTTTTATAATACACATGGTGTGTGGCAATGATGCACTAAAAGAGTGATAACAAGGCCCAGACTTAGAAATCATAAGCAACATGAAAAAGGTACTCTGCTTTCCTTCATAACTTTGGAAAAAAACATTTTTATTGTTGGACTTTTAAATGAAAAGCCTAAATAGAATAAACCATCAAGTTTTGTTTCACTTTATATCAGCATACTTGATAACATCAAGCATCATTTCCCCTCTCCTCCTTCACATATTTTATTGGTTTCCTGCCTTTGTGTGTAAGTATTTAGCCAGATACTGATTTTCACTTCCTTGACACATTTAGCCACATCATTGGGTGAAAACCCCTAGGTGCTAATTTATAGCTAGTTCCTTTATTTTATTCTCTATTTGTACCATAAAACTTCCCAAATGAAGCTGATGTTCTTAAAATTTCCAACTGAATTTCCCTAAGTTATTTTCCTTCTTTCTCAGAGCTTTAAGTTACCTGTTCTCACCATTAAACTACTTTTTTCTTGCCTACAATGGGCTTATTTTAGTTACCACCTTTCTTCTGACTGAGCCTCCTATTAGCTCTCTTCCTGCCCATATGCCTTGGCTTTCCTTTGTGTACACTATGAGGAAAAAAAATCCCAACTCCCTCTTCTTTAAAAAAAAAAAAATCTAAAACACTTACTCCAGCACACACAAAGACCCTTTTCTGTTAAAATGACAGCTATCGCATCTACAAATATATTCCATCTGCTCCTAAAATAAGACTTCAGATTCACAAATCTTTGTCAATAATATTTACAGAATACCTTCAGTTTCTTAACCTGTTGATACAGTATTAAATAAAGCTGAAAATGTGAGTATTAATCTTTTAATTTCTTTAAAAAAAATTCTTAAACTCTATATTTCCCAAATATTTTTAGCTACTGTTCCACACCCCTCTTCCCTACTTTTTAAAAAGAGATAACAATCTTACAGGATATATTTCTATGAAAACAATTCTGAAAATTACTTTCTTAAAAAGAAAAGTCCAAATTTTGATCTGTGTCCAACATACAAGGAAGACATTTCCTTGACAATAAATCTTTGAATATAAAATCATAGAATATTTAGTTCACAATAGCAAGAAACTAACAAGGGGCAACAAGAAGTTTCAAAGCTCCATTTATTTAGCAAGGGACCTAGTTCTCCTACCAACTCACTTAACTCTTAATTCTTTTATGTTCTTCTTTGGCTGTATAATTGCTTTTAAAAGGGTCTTAACATAATTGTTTCATGATGCACTTTGTTTTCAATGTAGATTTAGAATCTTAATGAGAAAATACTAGATATGAATTGAAGTAGCTGAATAAGGAGTAACAGACAAAACCAAGACAAAAAGGTTTGCTGAAGAGAAGAAAAGAAGATAAACTTTATTCTGAGGGAGGATCTTTGGTTTTCACGGTAAGGAAGCTCATCACCTCGAGGGTTTTTGTTGAATACAAAATTTATATAAAGTTATTCATAGATTATTTAAAAATCTTTTCCTATAGCCACAGAATGTCAACACATTTGTAAAAATTAGAAATGAACTGAAAAGCAACATAAAAATACCATTATGTACCAAATTCTAATAGGGTCACAGCAGGAATACAGTAGCATCTTATTCTTTCTTCACCAGGGCCCAGCTGCTATAGATCAATAATCACTCATGAATCCTATTCTGTATTGCCACCTAAGAACACATTATTGTTCTAGGGAACTTCTAATATGGAAGCCCTATGTTTATTTTCCTAGGCCGTTGCTTGTTTATTTGAAAAATACAACATAAAAATCCATCTCTGAATTCATTGCTGAATCATAAGACAGTTACTCATTGTTACAAACAGATTTTTCCTAACATTAAGACTTAAAAAAATTTTTTTAAAGACACAATCAATTAGCAATTATATTTTAAACAGTATTGTTTCTTATGCCCATAACTAAATGAAGACTAGAATTATTTTATAGTTTCTCATTTCCTTTTATGTGGCTCTGAAAAATCTGCTCTTTTTTTTTTCAAAGAGATATAGCATTTCAGTTCTAAAAGTTTTTTTTAATTTCTCCACTGAATTGTGAAAAAACTTTCAGATGACTTCTCGCCTCCTGTTTCCTTTTCCTCCATGCCCCATAAGCAGTAAATATACTGTATTTTCCACAAGACACTAGGTTACTTGGAATGTATGAAATTTTTTTAATGAGTTAATCACAGAATCCAGAAATAAGAATCCAAAAAGGCCTTAAATAAGGATATATTAGCCAGAAGGTGGCAAGAGTTATAAGCACAAAAAATTGACTACAGTTATTTCTGCTTTAATGCTTGTTTTAAAAATGTGAATGTGTTCCAATGCAATTGGTACAGTAGGGATCGATTTGAGCATAACATGAATTCTGTGTTTGTTTATGCCTGATTTCATCTGTGAGAGAACACAAAAACTACATCACATCACTATAACTCACAAGCTGCAACTTTCTCATGCTCATACTCACAAGCAAACTTCAGGTCTTTTTAAAGCACAAGTGCTATATTTACTGTATAACTTCTGGTGCAATAAGAGCTATGGACTGAGGAGGGCTACCTACCATCTCTCCTACCTTTCACCAAGGATAAAGCCTCTGGACCCAGAATGTTGGCAATACTCTTGCCAGTAATGGTAGTGGTGGTAGTGTTGGTAGTATCAGTACTAGTAGTAGTAGCTAACATTTATATAGTACTTACTGTGTGACAAGCACTGTGCTAAGCACTTTACAATTATTATCTCTTTTGATCCTCACAACAACTCTAGAAGGTAGGTGCTATTGTTATCCCCATGACGAAACTGAGGCAAACAGCAGTTAAATGACTTGTCCAGGGTCACACAGCTAGTAAGTATTTGAGGCTGGATTTGAATTCATGTCTTTCTCATTCCAAGCCCAGTGATCTATCCACTGTCACTCTTCTGACCTAGTTGCATCAA